GCTCCAGTGGCTGAATATTGTATGTATAGGTCCACGTTTTTAGGCAAATATAAAGATTTTCCCACGAAGACCCACGAAGCTTGTTATTTGTTATTTAAAAAGATTAGGTATATGACAGTCCTTAAAGTGTAAAATTGTGTATAGAGGTTCCCGTGTTGGCATGGCCCCCTTATTACGGGCTCAACTATTGGATGGTTGTTATACTCTCCACCATTCTATGGAACTTTGTCATTCCGTTTGTAACTCCTCGAAACATTTTATAAAAAACACTACATGTATATATATATATATATATATATATATATATATATATATATATATAGATATATATATATATATACATTTTATAAAAGACACTACAAGTATATATATTGTATCTATCTATTATTGTATCTATATCCATACCACACCCACATGAGAATAAAAATAAAGGAAATCAACACTCATTTTACTGGCAGGGTTACCCATCACATAGTTAGAGCGATGTAAGTCAGCATATAAAAACTAATAATGTCTACTAGTTCTAATGGTGACACTTATTCTAAAAGACTAAATAACAGAAATTGATGGTACAGTACCGTTCAAAATTGGTAACATCATTATAGAATTAACAGCATTATAGAAATAATGTATCCACTTGTTAATGAAGGTAATCGCACTAATTTCAACCAGCTAGTATAAGAGGGTAAAAAAAATTATTTTTCCAATTTAAACTTCTTAAACCAAAAGGCAGGAATTGCTCCTGTACTGATTCGTTTTTTGTCGGAATAGAGAGTATATTGAGGGTCCCTCGCAGAGGAACCATATTCTAATATTGGTCTAACAAGAGACGATTATGTCTATTTAAATGCATATGACATCACGTGCTTTATTCACCATAGAAATATTATGGTTTTTAAAATATAATTTGTGGTCCAACAGAAGCCCCAGATCAGTGAAGGAATCTACTGTTGATAACTCATACCGATGCATTTATTTGAGATTTATGTGTCATTAATACAAATATTATGGTTTTTAAAATATAATTTGTGGTCCATTAAAAGCCCCAGATCAGCGATGGAATCTACTGTTGATAACTCATACCGATGCTTTAATTTGAGATTCATGAGTCAGGAATAATTTTATATCATCAGCGTACATTAATAATTTAGATTACTCAATTGAATTTTGAAGATCATTAACAAACAATATAAATAGAACTGTGCCAATATGACTTCCTTGGAACATCGATAGATTTAAAATCAAAAACCTTCAAAAAGACCGAGATTTCTCTATTTTTTTTAAGTTTGTTCTTAGAGTTTTTAATAGTTATCAAATTAGAGGTAATCCAAGGTAGAATTTGAAGATATTTTTTCGATTTTAGTAATACATTCTTCAATTCTTCGAAAAAAAATGTTTAAAATAGTAGGATTTTCGATTTTTTAATCTTTAAACATTCTGAGTGAAATTTTTCGGTTGCAGAAAAATAAAGTTTCTTTAGATTCCATATTTTTTTACTTTTTGAAATAATAAACAAAAATTAAATTTGTTTTTATTAAATTGGCAAAATTTGCAATCAATCAAATAGCTGATTTAAAAAACCTACTTAATTTAGAAAAGTTGGTCAAAAAGCACAAACAAAAGCAACTGCCGATTCAAAACTATTTTTTTATTTGAGTAGTTTTTGGATTATTTTTTAATAAATTTCTCACGTTTTGGTGAAATTGGTCAAAAATTATATTTTTCTAGTAATCGGCACCCCCTGCCGACTACTGGCAAATCTTTTTTTTCTGTTCCTAATGTCGTCATTAAATAATATAACAGAAAAATGCTTGATTTGTATGTTTTTAAGTTATAAAATAATCTTTAGACTGTTATTTACTATTATAAAATATTTCTGATTCCAAAAGTATTAAATTTAATTTACTCAAATCGATTATTAAATTGACGCCAACACTAATTTTTTCTTTACAAACAAGCACTATCGCACGCGTTGGAAGAAACTCACTGACGAAAACCGTTATTCTTCCGTGATAAATGATCGGAGCTCATTTTTTTTTTTTTTTTTTTTTTTTTACAGAAAGAGAGCAGAGAAGAATGAAGTTTTCTTTGCAATTATTTCATTATTTGGTCAATTCTATTCTTAGTTATTTAAGATTAAATTTCAAAACTGCCGACTACTAGGACATGCCGAACTTAGGCGCACTTACCCTATAAGAGCAAAATATATATACATTTGCCCAAATCGACAATTCTGCTGTTAAATTTATTATAAAACCTTTTATTTCAAATATATTGTAGGTATATGTTGCTTTAACAGCAATAAGAACTCCCCCACCTTTTTTGTTTAATATAGATTCCGTTAACCAAGTTTCGGAGAATGATAAAGCGTTGTAATCAAAAGCAAAACTACCAGCATATAACCGGGACCTGTTAACTAAGGTATATGAGATAAATTTTTTCCGATTTTTCTACAAATTTTTTTACAAATGCAATAGCAGGCCAAATTTCATTCGTAATTGCCTTTTCGGAAGGATTTGGAGGTAAAACAACTTTAAAATAAAGTCTACTTTCTGAGAATGACGAACATTGTTTGTGGCATATGAGAAAGTTGTCTCCTCCTAATGACCTCGGCAGATTTATCTGGTGCGAATCGCGAAACAAAAATCATTTTCATGGCCGGAGCCATAGATATTGATTTAGCTTTAACTTGTAGAGATTGTGCCACTGGCCACTTGTGTCAGCGAACCTTTATATATGTCCACGTTTTTGCATAGCCCCCATATAACGTTACCTCCTGATATTCGGTATTTTGATGATTTTTGCCACGTTTTTTCAGTGTTTTCTCTGGAAATTGGTACTTGTAGGTTATAATGGGTTCGGTTGCAGAATATTGTATATATAGGTCCACGTTTTCATATAGCCCCCATATAACGGTACCTACTGATATTCGGTATTTTGATGATTTTTGTCACATTTAGAAAAGAAAATGTCACATTTACAAAGAAAAATCATTTTTAGGGATGACCTCGTAATATAGGCTTTTCTTTAAAGACTACGAAAGGTTGAAAAATCTTTGACGAACTTGAGCTGAGGATAAAATGCACAAGTCAAAGCCAATCAATCTCGGAAGATTCCTATAGGATTCCCATACGGAACAACGAGAAATAGATATTTGCCGTGGTATGGACACTGAATAATCTGCGAAATTATCTATTCGGTGCTAAATGTATAAAGATATATAAGTTAAGTATTTTGGGTATTTGTATGGTGTTGTTACACCTTCGTTATTCCAGTTCTCTTATCAAACTAACTTATTAAGATACTTAAAGCTATGAATAAACTTATAATAATTGTTTTCTACTGCTGACTCTGCGCCTTTTTGTGGAGTATTATATTGCAATACGTTGAATAAATGCTCCTATGTTTGGTGTTGGCTAAGCAGTGATAATGAATATAATTGCTGACACTGTGCCTCGTGTGGAGTGTTGCATTGCAATATGTTGGACGAACAATTATTATAGTTCGCCATCGTTTGACCAAAGTATTAGGGTGGGACAATGGAGATTGTGTTAACTTATATATTCATAATCAGCATAAAATTCTAAGTGGATTTAACGATGTCCGTCTGTCTGTCTGTTGAAATCACGATACAGCCCACATTATTTGACGTAGAGCCACAAAATTTAGCAGAGCAATTGGTATTGCGTCTAGGATGGTTGGTATTGAAAATGAGATATATCGGTCCACGTTCTGGTATAGTCCCAATATAACGGTACCTCTCCATATTCGGTATTTTGATGATTTATGCCACACTTTTTCACGGATTTGTCTGAAAATTGGTATTTGTAGGTCATAACGGGTCCCTGTACGTGTGGCAAAACATTGCATGTATAGGTCCACGTTTTGGTAGAGCTCCCATATAATGGTACCTCCCGATATTCGATATTTTGATTATTTTTGCCACATTTCTTCTAGTGTTTCCTTTACCCTAGGGTGGAGGGCATTAAAAGTTTGGCCCTGCCGAACTTTATGTTTTTTTACTTGTTTTAATTTTAACTGCGTTCATTTTACATTTTGTAACATAAACGGATTTGTCTACAAATTTTTATTTGTAGGTCATAATGGGTTATAGCTCCGTTGGCGGAACCTTGCATGTGTAGGTCCACGATTTGATAGAGCCCCCTTATAACGGTACCTCCCGATATTCGGCATTTTAATGGTTTTTACCACATTTCTTCTAGTGTTTCCTTTACCCTAGGGTGGAGGGTATTAAAAGTTTGGCCCTGCCGAACTTTATGTTTTTTTACTTGTTTTAATTTTAACGGCGTTCATTTTACATTTTGTAACATAATATCGAGAGCAGACGTTTACTAAGGGCTGAAGTTTGTTAATTGCCGACTTGCTATAAGTATTAGGAGTACTAAAAATCATAGCATTACATCCTGCTGCTGAAAACCTTTTGTACGAAGGCAATATTGTTCCATGTACAACCACCCAATAAAAAGAAGAATACAGAACTGCAGCGAAAATACAAAAAAAAACATTGCAATAAAATTTGCACGAATATGGGTACAATATTTTCAATACGACTCGTAATGTCAATGAAAATCAATATTTATTTATATGATAAAAATCAATAAAACCGATTTAAGGGCGCACAAACCGTAACCCGCTTGTTCGGGTAAGCACTACATAAGTACTTATACCATTGTTCCAAAAGAAAGTACCAGTACCTACTCGCCAATACACTAGCCACGCGTTTGAGTGACGAATTTAACATGGGGATGTCATTGGAGGTATGTAATCGTCACCCTCTCGTTTACCTTCCATTAACGAAAACAGTAATGACAAGTTCAGTGACTATTCGTTTATCATTAATAATGAACTACTTCGTTAACAATGAATAATAAATTATCGTTAACGATGAGTAATGATCTACTTCGTTAATGATTAATAATAAGCGAATTCTGCATACGCAGTACTATGCAGAAGATCCCTATGAAATCAAAATCCACATATTTAATTCAAAAAATACAAAATTATTTATTTAAAACAAAAACAAAAATACTTCAAATAATGAAAATAAACGTCTGAAATTTATTTGTCTGGCTTATTTTTGATCAGCATGTCTTTGCACCGACATATTTTTAAAAATTCTCCTTTTCTGCAATTGAATTGCCTTCCGAATTTGGTCATCCGCTGGACCAATATTATTTGTTTTGGCCATTGAGACCGCTTCTGAAAATGAAAAAAATATAAATGTATTATTTATATCGGGTTTTAAGACTATAATTATGCTTACCTAACAGAACACCATAAAAGTTTTTAAGTTGTTTAAAACTTTTCTTCCCTTGAACACCGTCGACATTGTAGGCCATGGTAACATTGTCGTTTAGGATGCATTTTAAGTTTTTGTGAACCCCGGCTGGTTCTAGCATTGATCTCATTGCTTTTATCTAAAGATAAACTTGATATACAGCTATTCATATTTATAATAAAAATGATGAAATATCTTACATATTGATTTCTATTTTCAGCATTTATTTCCTTGTCAATTTCAATTAATTGTTCTTCAGATTTTATTGGAAACTTCTGTATTACCGGAATTTCTTCGTATGTTTGCTTTTTACAAACCAATTTATATTTTATTACTTCACTGGTGGGAGCACACACAATTTATGACTAAACACTTGGATTGTTGATCAAAGAGTAAATGAAATTTGTCAACCACCAAGCTTTTTTTGCATCACACACATTCCAGAAAATAACGGAATCGAACAAAGAGAAACAAAAGAATATGTGAACTTACTTAAGTATCCCATGGTAAGGCGCAGTTGATACAATCGACGAACCGTTCATTTACTTTGGGATACTGAAATAAGTACATACCCTTAAATCAAAATCATTAATGATGTATGCTATGAATAGTATCAATAGTATCATTCGTATTATACTAGTGGATACATAAGTAAGTACTGTAGGAAGTAATCGACGAAATTACTATAGAAAACCCGTCAATTGATGTTTTGTCGAACTAGCGGGAAGTTGTACTCTACCAATCGTTTAGGGTAAAACAAGAAACAAAACAATTTTCTCGAAAGAGTTCGAAAAAATAAATAGTAATATTTGTATTTAACGTTATTTGATAAAATATTACTATGCACATATTATATATGTATGTACCGAATGTAGAGTGTATTGTATCGGAGAGACAAGCAAATATGTAGATAAAGCGGGACCAAGAATCAGCAGTGACGACAACAATATTCTTTTCTGTTGTTGTTATGTTTTACTACTTACATGAGGATGTAAAATACAAAAAGCGCAACGAGAAAAGAAATTACAAATATAAAAGAAATATTCCAAAAATATAAATAGGCAATGAGAAAATATGCAAATCTGAGATTGTGGTTGTGAGCGTGTGTTTTTGTTGGAAACAAAAATCACTTTGACACTGTTTTGTTGTTATGATGAATGCTGACGGCAATCTCATAGGAGATGGACGGACATGTAAACTTGTTGTAAAACGACCGTAGGCTTTATTTTGTTCTACAGGCACAAAAATAACAATGTTCGGTACATCACTTTAAACGTAATTCACAGTGTATATACTTTGTTGTGGCGGCTAATTAAAATGTAAAATAATTAATTAAATGAGATGGTGGTGATCGATGATCCCGTTGTTGTTATTGACAACGTAGTGCTTTTTTCTCGTGAAGGAACGGGAAAGATCGTAAAATCCAATGTTTGCGTAGCAAAATGAAAATGAAAAACAAAAATAAAAACACAATTATTAATATTTTCCCACTGAGCAGGGGACTGTATATTTTTATAGGGTTGTTCGTAGAACAGAATTACCTTCGTACAAAAGTTTTTTTTTGCGTTGGTAGTTGGATATTTATAGATTCCTAAGTGATTCCGATGTTGTTATTTTTTTTTTTTTTTTTGATTGTTTATTAGTTTTTTCTATCCTCTTTTAATACCCTCCACCATTCTATGGATGGTATATTCACTTTGTCATGGTAATTCCCAATATTTGGTATTTCAATGATTTCAGCAACAGTATTCACCGGAATGGTTTCATATTTCGTACTGGAAGATCCTAATGGGTACTACATCCTAAGACAGAAAATTGTCTGTGCAGGTCCACGTCTACGCATAGCTACGTATAGCGACATTATTCAAATTAGTTATTTGAAGTTTTTTTATGGGTACTACAGCCTATGAAAAAAATTTTCATATGCAGGTCCACGTCTTCGTATAGCCCCCATATAACGGTACCTCGCGATAGTGGGTATTTTGATGATTTCAGTAACATTTTGTACCGGAATCATTTCAAATTTCGTACCCCCATATAAGGTACCTCGCGTTAGTGGGTATTTTGATGATTTCACTAACATTTTTAGCGGAATCATTTCAAATTTCGTACTCGAAGTTCCTTATGGGTACTATAGCCCCTATGCAGCTCCAAGTCATCGTATAGTCCTCACATAAAAATTCATCTCGATATTCGGTATTTAGATGACTTCAGCAACATTATTCACCGTACTGAAGATTCAAATGGGTACTACAACCAAAGACAGAAAATTGTCCGTGCAGGTCCACGTCTTCGTGTAGCCCCCATATAACGATACATCCCAATATTCAGTATTTTGATGATTTTAGCGTCATTATTCACCGGAATTGTTTCAAATTACGTATTTGTAGTTCGTAATGGAAACTAGAGTCTGTGACAGAAAATTGTTTATGCATATATCAGTACCTCCCTATATTAGGTGTTTTGTCGATTTTAGGTAAAATACTTACCGAAATTGTTTGAGATGTCGTATTTGAAGTTCGTAATGGATGCTACAAACTGTGACAGAAAATATTTTAATGCTGGTCTACGTCTTCGCACAGCTCCGATATAACGGTACCTGCCTATATAACATTTTTGATGATTTTAGCTACATCATTCGCCGTTTATTTCAAGTTTCGAATTTGAATATGGCAATGGCTTATGAGAAACAATGCCTATGTAGGTCCACGTCGTATAGACCCCAAATAAAACGGCTATATTCGCTATTATTAAAATTTTAACAGAATTTTTTAAGGATTTTATTTTTTTGAAAATTACCAAATTCGTTCCAAATGTTGGAAGGTATTCAAAGTTCGTCCCGACCGTATTTACGGCTTTTTAATTTGTTTTTTTTTTTTTTTTTTTTTTGTTAATAATTTTGTTTTTTGCTCACTTAAGTCTTTAATTTTTTATACTCTCCACCATTCTATGGATGGTATATTATCTTTGCCATTCCGAAATATTCATAATAAACCCTACAAAGTATATATATACTGGATCTGCGTAAAATTCTAACCCGATCTCGCGATGTCCGTCTGTCTGTCTATTATAATCACGCTAGAAGGCTAAAATTTGGCATACATGCATAGTTTACCAGTAAACTATGTAAATGGGCCATGTCGGTACACGTTTTCGTATAGCCCCATATAACGGTAGCTTCCTATATTCTGTATTTTCATGATTTTAACTACGTTATTTACCGTTATTATTTAAAATTTTGTATTTGAAGTTCGTAATAGGTACTACAGCCTCAGACAGAAAATTGTCTGTGCTGGCCCAAGTCTTCGTATAGCCCCCATATTACACTACCACCAAATATTCGGTATTTTAAAGATTTTTTGGCCTCAGTTTCTGGCGGAAAATCTTAGAACTATTTCTAAAAGGTGTTCTACCTTCTGTGGCTAACGCTGCAGCATAGAAAATATGACTACTTAAAAACTCATATTCATATTTATAACAGACCACATGAAAATTACAATCCGGCGTGGATAAAAGGGTATACTTGCAATCGACTATAATTTATTGTTAATGAATATTTTTTAGGTTTTAAGTCATAAGTTGCTTAAAAGAATAATGGGAAAGGCCGTATTTAATACTATTAATAATAATAATAATAATAATAATAATAATAGTAATAATAATCATAATAATAATAATAATAATAATAATAATAATAATAATATATAATAATAATAATAATAATAATAATGATAATATATAATAATAATAATAATATAATAATAATAATAATATAATAATAAATAATAATAAATAATAATAATAATAATAATAATAATAATAATAATAATAATAATACTAATAATAATAATAATAATAATAATAATAATAATAATAATATAATAAGGTATATATATAATCATATATAATAATAATAATAATAATAATAATAATAATAATAATAATAATATAATAATATAATAATAATAATAATAATAATAATAATAATAATAATTAAGTAATAATCTAATAATAATAATAATAATAATAATAATACTAATAATAATAATATAATAATAATAATATATAATAATATCATAATAATAATAATAATAATAATATAATAATAATAATAATAATAATAATAATAATACTAATTATATAATAATCATAATAATAATAATATAATAATAATAATAATAATAATAATAATAATAATAATAATAATAATATAATAATAATAATAATAATAATAATAATATAATAATAATAATAATAATAATAATAATAATAATATTAATAATAGTAATACTAGTAATAATAATAATAATAATAATAATAATAATAATAATAATAATACTAATAATAATAATAATAACAATAATAATAATAATAATAATAATAATAATAATAATAATAATAATAATAATAATAATAATAATAATAATAATAACAATAATAATAATAATAATAATAATAATAATAATAATAATAATAATAATATAATAATAATAATAAATAATATAATAATAATAATAATTTTTTTTTTTTTTTTTTTTTTTTTTTTTTTTATTCTTTATTCATCTTTATTATTCATTTAAAATTCTAATACAATTTATGTGTATATAATTCCACGAAGCTATACTTAGCTTGTATGTGGATATATATAAATATGAATTGACATTATATTATTGTACATAACTGTAGACTTCATAAAAATAAATCATTTTTAATTTGCATTATTTAGATAGTATTTCTTAACAAGACTATTTCTGACTTTTGGGTTAGTTTCTTGTATTATTTCTCTGGGTAAAGCATTTAAAGCAGTCGGTAAAGCAACGGATAATGAGTGTTTTCCATAATCATTTCTGAAAGTCGGTACTGTGTATCTTCCTTCGGATCTTCTTCTTGTGTTCTGACCGTGCTGGAGTCTCTTTGCCAGGCTATTATCGTCAGCAAATTCTTTTATAATTGTTATTGAATAAAGTTCCTTTATGTTAAGGATTCGTTGATTTATGTACATATGTTTTATTCGACTTGCATTTTGAATAGTTGGACATTTGCTACTATGCGTCTTCTTGCTAAGTAATTTAACAATTCTGTTCTGTGTTGCTTGTAGATATCTGCAGCTTCTGGCATTTCCCCAGGCCGTAATTCCATGTCGAAGATGGGACTCCACCAATGAAAGATAGGCTTGTTTCATTACGTAGGAGGGGGCACAATTACCCAGATGGTAAAGCGCATATACCGATTTTCGTAACTTTTTCTGCAAATTTTGAAAGTGTGTTTTCCATTTAAAGTGTGA